TTATTTTAAAATTGTGGGGTACAGTTAAGGGTTAGGTATACAAATATGCATCGTTCCGGCACCCTTGTTGACAAGGGGTGTCCCCGGTCTCCAGACAGATATTGTTGAGATCAAAGGATGGGAAGTGTGTCTGCACCAGGCACAACTTGAAATGGCTTCAATTCGAAAGAGAGGAAACACAGAGAGGCTGGGAATACAACTGTGAAGGGTGGTGGGGGGACTATGAGAGATAACTGTAAACTAGAAATGTCTATATGACAGATGTCAACTGGGGAAAAATATTCCGTATGTATGAATGTGACTTTGTAAAACTCATGTATGTGCTTTAAATACAAAAGTACTGAAACAAAGAAATCTTTTTTGCCAGATTTTTTGGAGACACACCTGTTAATAATTATCATTAGTATAAGAGATACCATCCATTGAGCGTATATTATGGTAGACATGGGGCTGGTACTTTATATATATCTCATTTAATCCTTGTAACAGCTCTGCCAAGTCTGTGGCATTATTCTCATTTTACACAAAAAGACTACTGAACTAAACCTTACACTAAAGCTCAAAGAGGAAAAATAGTGTGCCTCAGGGCACGCAGCTGACAACCAAGATTCAAACTTGGGACTGCCTTGCTCTAGAGCCCAAGTTCTTTCCTCTAAAATTAAGTAATTTAAATAGATTTAGATCCCCTAGACAACATCTGTATGTTCTTGGTCTTTAGACACTGGTGAGATTGACAAGGCAACTTGCAATAGTATTGTTTACTAGCTCTATTATTTGTTTAAAACATTGCAATAAAATAATAAAATTTAGGATTCTCAAAAAAGGTGCCTGGCTTTTCACATCAAGATCACCAATGCACAATTGTATGTGTGATTCGTTTCTGTATGTGTATGTGTGTGTGTTCCCAGTAGTATATCTAGGTTGTATGGGCCTGAAGCTTACAGTTTGGGAGATATAAATATCTCTAGGACTCCCAGGGAACTGTGCAAGTGAGGGGCCCTTTATCTAGTAGCTTCATGACAAACCACCTGTGCCCTTGCATGTGTGTGCATGAAGATATACGGAGGAACTAACAAAAGCTGTGTTCCCTTGAACAACAGGGCTTGGTTCCATTGCTTAGTAAAATAGAAGTACTGGCTAGTACTCGTTACTGTATCTCTTTTCTGGGAAGACAAAGAGGATTTATCAAGAATCAAATCGGCTAAGAATATTTTGAAAAGTGCCCTTTGAATCTAAATCAATGGGCGTTGGCTAAGTTAGATATACAGGGCTGTCTGTGGTCATGCTCTTTATATTCAGTAGGCAAATGAGTATAACTTATTTTTTAAAAACTTCTTTATCCCAGAGATCCTTTTGTTAATAATAACTTTTAGATGTAGTCTCTTGCATTTATGAAGATTTGAAAAATGTATAAAGAGAACAGGCTGGGAGTTGAGGAACTAAGGGATAGTGGTCATGGAGGGGGAAGGTGTGAAGGCCATCTTTGTTGACTTAGAAATCTTTTGTAAACAAGACACACGTTCCGTGTTAGGCCAGAAGTCAAAACTTAAGAACCAAGGTACAGGGATTTCAGGGGAAGCCAGATTCCAACTCAACAGAGGAACTTTCTATCAACTAGAACTGTCTAAAAATGGTTTGCTGGTGCCATGACTGGCTGCCCATCGCTGGAAGTTGACCCAGCCAACACCACTTCTTGGCAAGGGAAGGGGAGGTGGGGACTCTTAGTGAGCAAGCTTGAGCCCATCTAAGAAGCCTCTAGAATCCTTTCCAGGTCTAGGACTCAGAGTTGTTATTGGGCACACACTGTCACTGCCAGTCATGGGCTCACAGCACCTGCACGGTCATGGGTCCCTGCCCCCGTGGTAGTGATACGCTGTGCCAACCCAGCTGCATTCCCCGACTGAGCCCTGCTTGCTGAGGAAACATGTCTGGGAATGGACGGATCCAGCTGTGGTGACACCCTAGGGTCTTAGAATTCAGATTTTTTTCCCTGGTCCACCACCAGAGACCTCCCACCCATTAGCCATCCCTCATGAATGGCACTTAGGATAATTTCTGTTATCTTATTTGTTCTCATTAATAGGCTTATGCTTTAAGTAAGAAACTGGCAGAGTCCACTTGACTCACTCTGCTCCCGTTTTCTCCTGCACACTCAGAGAGAAACCTTCTCTACCTGCTCCCTTTGCCAGCTTCAGGAGGAGAGGCTGAAGTGAGCCAGTACAGACGGCTTGGGGATGTGTGGAGCGTAGCACATGTCGGCCCCACAGTGGGCTTAGCCCACCAGCTTGTGACAACATGGCCAGAGAGCTCACGAATGAGAGAGCGGCCTCTGTCACCTTCTTTACCTTTCTGGAGGGGTGACATAAAATTGGCCATGACCCAGACATTCCATCCCTGTTCTCCATGTGAGAGCTCCTTAGAGGTTTACAGGCCTGTTTTAAATCAACATCATCATATCAGTAATAACAGTGATGGTCATGTTAGTGGTGGTAAAAGCAACAGCTGATGTTTACTGAGCTTTTACTGTTGGCCTGTACTGTGATGAGCTTAGTACCTGAACCGCCTCATTAAATCCTCACATCTTGCAGTATAGATGCCATCAACATCACCATTTTATAGATGGGGAAACTGAGGCCTAGAGACATTAAGAGGCAGGCCTGAGGAGGCACCCGTGTGACTCCAGGGCATAGACACGTCACCATTCTGCTGTCTTGACTCACCTCCTGTATGTATGGAGAGAAATGAAAGTGAAGAAGGGAAAGTGACCTGCCTACTCTCCAGTTCTTGTGTGAGCTCCCACCAGAGAGCTTCTCCAAACCCAGAAAAGCAGCCTCCAAGCACGGGGCCAGGGAGCAGCGTGGGACCAAACCCTGCTCTGGGTACTTCTTAACATTTCCCTAATTTAACCCTCACAGCAAACGTGGAGGTCGGTGCTGGTGTTTGCATTTTGCAGAGAAGGTCAGGGACTCGCTCAAGGTCACCTGGTGCAGAGGAGCTGGGATACCAAGGTGCCCTCACTGCCCCACCAGCCTGCCTTGCAAAGTGAATTGAGTTGAACACCCTCACAGACACTAAATTTATATTTCCTGGCCTCTCCTTCCAAAATGGATAGGCTAATTACTGACCATTTTTTTAGTAATAGTAATCATCAGGAACACATTTTTAAATGTTTTCATTTTCTATTCTGCCTACTACCAAAATAAAACATTGATCAAACCCACAGGATAAAACCCAGCAAGTGTGAGGCCCTGTAAATTAGGAAAAGTTCAGGAAGACATTACGCTAAACCAAAAGAAACAAAGTGTTGATTAGGGGCTTATTTTTATGTGAGATTAAAATATGAATCATTAAAATAGGACTGTATTTCAGGCTCTGTATCCCCGCCTCATCAGAGACATCACCATGACTACTAGGTTTGGATTCAATGAATTCCAAAGCCGTTCCCAGCTCTCAAATGCAGTCGTGTGTGCCATGGTTCTAGTCTGGCTCAGGACACCTCTGCATCTTCCTGCCTGTCTCTGTTTAATAAAATGCCCAAATGACATGTCTGCGGCTCTTTGAAGTCTTTTGCTTTATTTAATCATAATAGTAAGTAGTGACAGAAAGTTATACTAATAGCAACCGAATTTCAAAGACAGAGGAAGGAACAAAGTCAAAGCAAAGACACAAGGTTCCCTCAGGAGTCACTTAGAATAGGATATCCATGGAATTTTATTGGGTCCAAGCACTAGAAGAGTGGAGGTTTGCAGAAAGAAAGAAACTAATAGGGAATGCTTCTCGGGTTCATGCTGAGTTGAAAGAAAAAATAATATAGCAATATCTACAGCCCAAAATACACAGTTAAATGAAGTTGTTAATTAAAGTATCTGTTAAAGATGGCTAAAATTAGAGACAAAAGCCCATTGTTTGGTATCGTTGTTGACTGCTTATGTGTGTGTGGGCAAGGGCATAGGGGGACAGTTAGAGAGCCCAATGGCATTTTAAAGATTAATCACTCACTTCTAAAGGATTTTGAGGCACCCACCTGCATTTTGAACTTGAATCCAAGCCAAAGGGGTGGGTCAAAACAATGAATACTTCAAATACCAAATATATCAGAACAGAAAGCCCCCTTCTCAGCCCTGCCCCCACCATACTCTGCAAAGGGCTGACATCTCAAAATGATTTTCTCACGATTGTGGAACCTTGGAGCAATGCCTGTATGCATTTTTAAAGGAGGGAAGCATCCCAGAATGTGCCAGTTCCTTATAGAGCGTCTTTAATAGTTACCACCTCTAACTGGACTTGTGAATTTTTTTTTTATATATATTTATTCTTTTCTTGCCTGGGATTGGAGTTGGTTAAAAAGGAATCTTTTTCTCTGTAGGGAAGATTTCTGTGAAGAGTCTATGTGTTGCCATTGGAACATTAAAAATGTTCATACTTAATGATTTCATAATTCTTCTTTGAATAATCTGAAGTGCAAGCAAAGATAGATGTAAAAAGGATATCTTCACAAAAATAATAGCCATAAATTGGGCCAATTTAAATTTCCAAGCAAGGTCTGGTATATCCCTCTGATAGGCCATTATTAGGCAGCTACTACAGGCAGCTGAGTAATATGGGAAAGTCTTCAAAACCTCATGTGGAGGGAAGAAGGGAGGATACTAAACTTAGAAGCCTGATTCTAACTGTATAACTATAGACAGTATTAACAGGGCTTCTTTCCATGATGGGAGTATAAGTAATTTTTGCTTTCCATTTTTCTGCATTTTTAAAACTTTTTCAGTATATTATTTTCATCATCAAAAAAAGTTTAATTTAGAAAAATCACAAAACTTTAACCTTTTGAGTTTCAAGTGCTCCATCCTGTCCCCTGGGAGCTCCAGGAGGGGAGGTAGCATGTGTAATTTGTCCACCGTTGGACCCTCAGTACAGGGCCGGGGCAGGGCTGAAGCTCAGTAAACAGTTATTGAAAAGGTACTTCCATTTCTCTATTTCCCTTTCCTTTTTCTTTCCAGGTGATGTGCTCTATGAACTCCTTCAGCATATTCTGAAGCAGAGGAAACCTCGGATTCTTTTTTCACCATTCTTCCACCCTGGAAACTCTATACACACACAGCCGGAGGTCATATTGCATCAGAACCACGAGGAAGGTACTGAGGAGGCCTCTCTTTCCTTGCCTGAGGTTGAGACAAATCCAGGAGGTTTAATCATGATACACTGTTCCTATTCATATAAATTGTTTTTCATTCAACAAACATTTATTAGGTGTTTACTGTGTATAAAACACTAAGGGGAAATGTCTAGGTGCATCAGGTGTATTCTTGGTTCTCTGAAGCTCACAATAAAAGTGGCACAGTGAGACCAGGCACGGTGGCTCAAGCCTGTAATCCCAGCATTTTGGGAGGCCAGGGTGAGGGGACTGCCTGAACCCATGGGTTTGCGAACAACCTGGACCACTTAGCAAGATCTCAACTCTACAATAAATCAAAAAATCAGCCAGGCACAGTAGCGCGCACCTGTAGTTCTGGCTACTTGAAAGGCTGAGGCAGAAGGATCACCTGAGCCCAGCAGGTCAACGCTGGGGTGGCCATGAGCATGCCACTGTACTCCAGCCTGGGTGATGGAGTGAGACTCCAACTCAAAAAAAAAAAGTGGCGCAGTGAGATGAATATGCACAGAAGCTGAACTGTAATGTGGCACTGTGGAGATGTGGAAAGAACAATTACAGCCAGGTACAGGGAGCAGGGTCTGCTCATAAAGGCGTGGGCTCTGGAGGAGTCCTTCAAGGTCCAGCAGGATTCTGATGAGCAGGCATGAAGCGAGGAACATTCTAGGCAGAGAAAATGACATAAGGGTGGGGGAAAGCCTTGGAATGGGGAGCAGAAGTCACATGACTCGGGTTGTAGAGCGTACCTTCTCATCCCACTTCCCTTCCATTATGAAAAAATTTCAGGCATACCCCAAATAAAGAGGATAAAAATAAATAAACCTTGTGAGCCATCACCCTACTTTCACAAGGACCAGCATTTGGCCATTGCAGAGCCGGTCCGAGGAACTTAGCTTAGAACCAGAGTGTGGAGAACTTTTTTTTTTTTAATTTCCCAGAAATGGAGCAAAATCATGGGAAGTTACTAAAGATTTTTGAGCAGATTTTAATAAAAGCCAGGGGAAGGAAAAAAACCCAAACCCTGTGAACTCAGTGTTCGGACGGGGCTTTCTTCACCATGCACCAAAGGAGGATGGTAGACTGTGTTCAGTGTCCGTGTTTATTTCAGATGAACCAGTTGCTCCTCTTAATTATTGGTGAAAACAAAAGACCAGAACTGAATTTAGACCTTGACCCTAGGTCCCAAGTAGGTGCTGGGGTCCAGAAATAGAGTACAAAAACCTTGCTCTGAGCGCTGTTCCATTGTCCAGCTGAGTATACAGTGGCATTCAGTGATGGCTTGTGTCTGAGGGTCATGATGTCCATGTCCTCCTGCCCAGGTCAGACAACACACGTGCAAACAGGCACCGGAACTTTCTCACGTGTATTTTTCCTTAGGTTAAGATTACTTGGGGCTTAAAACCCTGGCTCCTTGGGGCATTTCCTTCAATGGATTAATCACCCCCAAGAGTAGAACTCATATTTTTGTTTTGTCATTAGCAGATTAAAAAATGAGAAGTTTTTGTTTTCTCAATTAACATTTCACCAAAGAGAGCCCAACTTGAGGCGACTGACATGACCTCCCTGTGCTGGGAGGTGCCCAGCCGGGGCCCCTCGCCTCCATGATGAAGAATGAACAGCACTTCATGCATGCTCCCTGCCTTTCTCTCTTCCTTTTCTCCCCTAGCTTTACCCTTGCTAAATTTAGCAGCTACCTTCCTCCCCCAATTCGGTTTCTTGTTCCTTTGCTCTTCCTGCCATGTACATTTCCGGCTTGCATAATAGCCAACAGCCACTCCAGAGAAGAGGAGGTGGGTTTACTGAAGCTTGACATTAAGGCAAGAAATATATTACCCAGCCTGCCTTTCAAATACAAAGAGTGTGTGATGGGTTTTGTTTTTGTTTTTGTTTTTTCTGCTGCTGCTCCTTCTTTCTCTCAATTAAAAAAAAAAAAAAAAGGAATAAAAATCCCATTTGGAATTTCTGCTCCATTTTTCTTCCCCAGTGTTATTGGAGGATAATGGTCTCGCCTCCTCACAAATCCTTCCTCCTTTTCCCTTGGCCAGATTTGACTCATAAGTAGGTGAGTTTGTTGTTCTCATTTTCAGGAGCTCATCAATAGGGAAAGCTGGCTTACTCTGAGAGCTCCTCTCAAACCAAGTAAATACAGATGTGCCACCGCATGCGCTGTAATGAGCTTGCTCTCAGGAGTTAGGATGTCGGTGGTGGTGAGCTCAGTAGCAAAAAGAATGAAGCTAATGAGGCCAAGGTCAAGGGCGCCATCACCCTGTGGACCAGCTAGCTCTGCTTCAGACCCAGCTCTTAAAAACAGTGCATTCTCAGAGACCGTTCCTTAAAGCTGATGGCCAGGAAGCAAGATCTGAGGGCATGCGTCCTCCTCCTCAGTCTGTTTAGACACAGTGCGTGCTCTCAGATGAACAGGTACCCTCAACAAGAAGGGAAGTGCAGGTCTTTATCAGGTAGTATCCAATGAGGCTAGATGTCCAAGACACAGAGGTGATATGAGGGGCTGCCCTCTTCACATCTTCCCCAGACTTTCAGATATATGATGCCCTTGATAACAGAGAAACCAAGAAGAGAGGTGCGTGATCAGTTTAACTTTCCCACTTCAAACCACCACCTCCATCTTTCTCTCCTTCTCTACTGAAAAAAAAAAACATTCCATTTCCACATAAATTGTCTCTAGAGTCAATTATGAAAGATAGCAGATGATTGATATGGGCATATGTTAACATACAGCAAGATCCGGTTCTGGAAAACAAAAAACAAAAAGTCTATCAAGTGAAATTATACAAGGGGAACCCCCCCAAAAAAAGCCAGAATTATTTTTTGGAGTGTGAGCCCCTTATAATGCAGGCTTCCCCCACTAGGTAAGTATTTTAGGAACCCATGGGCATCTGTGTACCCGCTAGTGTTGTTGTAAGAGGCTATATTTGGCTTCAGTGAATTTTTTTTGGAGATTCAACACGTCTGCCCATTTTATGTTGGGTGAGGTACGAGTGTACCCGCCCACACCACACTGACTGTTTAGCAGTTTTTGGTTGTTGTTTTTAGTTTGTTTGTTTTTTACCAAAAAATGCAATGACCTCCATGTCCCACCCTTTCTATGCACTTGATCTCCCCCTGAGTGACTTTTTTTGTTTCCCTGGATAAAAAAAGTCCTCAAAGGGAACATTTTACCAATGTGGAAGAGGTGAAATAAAAAATGGCAGAAGCACTAAAAGGCATCAAAATCGACAAGTTCAAAAACTGTTCTGACCAGTGGAAAAAGTGTCTCAATGGGTGTATTGTCTCAAATGGAGAGTACTTTGAAGGTGACTGAAGTTTAAACATGTAAGAACAAATACACAATTTTTAAAGAAACTTCCGGGGTTCTTTTTGGGTTCCTCCCTTGTACATATTAAATATTACTTCCCCAATGATTTATTTTCCGTAACTAGGGATAATCGTACCAGGTAAAATTATGTTTGCCCAAGACAACTCAATGCTGCTTTTGACTTGACATAGATAGTAGGTTGGTAGATAGGGGGAGAGGGAGAGAGGTAGGTAGATAGATACATAGATAGCTAGGAATGACAGAATGGAAGGAGAACAGGCCCTGACTCAGCTGCTAAGCAGCTTGGTGCAGTGAAGTGTGCATGGTCAAGTGCAAATACAAGGCTTCTTTCAAGCCCTTTGTGATTTCATCTCATCACAGCCGCCAGCTTAACCAGTGCAAACATTCATAATTTGACAATGGAAATTCATATCACAATACAAATGTGTCTTGCTCAATCTAACACCAGTTCCCCACAGATATCCTCTGCGACCATCTCACATTGCAATCTCTCCTTCCTCCTGGTAGCCACATGGCAGTGCTAAAATCAGGAAGTTGGTGTTCACTCAGAGGTTCCCCTCCATGCCCTGATGGGAGAGGAGGATGAGTAGGCTAATTCAAACCCTTTATAAGGCTGGGCGCAGTGGCTTATGCCTGTAATCCCAGCACTTTGGGACGCTAGAGGTGAGAGGATTGTCTGAGCCCAGGGGTTCGAGAACAGCCTGGGCAAATTGGCAAGACCTCATCTCTACAACAAATCAAAAAAATTGGCTGGGTGTGTTGATGTGTGCCTGTAGTTTCAGCTTCTTGGAAGGCTGAGGCAGAAGTATCACCTGAGCCTAGCAGGTGGAGGCTGCAGTGACTGTGAGCATGCCACTGCGGTTCAGCCTGGGTGACAGAGTGAAACTTCAACTCCAAAAAAAAAAAAACCCTTTGTGTGTGAATTTTCATTTTCTCTATAATGTACTCTATTATGAAATGACATCATGCCTTGAGCAAAGCAGTCCCCAGATTACCATCTACCTCCAGAAAAAAACAGTATTTTCACTCCTCCTCTTACTTACTAGTTTGGGGAAGGGAGGACGATATAATTAGGGTAACCTTATAATTTTTCATGCATACCAAGACATTTATGACAGGGCTCCATTAATAAGTAAGCCAGGACAACAGGCGTAAGCTAGAACCATCCCAGACAAACTGGTGTGTGTGTGTGTGTGTGTGTGTGTGTGTGTGTGTGTGTGTGTGTGTGTGTGTGTGTGTGTGTGTAAAATGTCTTGATGGGATCTGGAAGCCAGAAAACCCGATTCTAATCCTTCATTCTGTCAGAAAAAAAATCATGAGGACTAAGTTTCTCATTTCTCTGGCTCTTAGTTTGCCCGGTTGTAAGAGAGGGTCAGACTCTATGGTCTCTTACAGCTCTCAAATCCTCACGTTACATCCAAGGTGTCTGAGTCTGTCTGGGCAATAGGAAGATGAGTAAAACACATTCTCTACCTTCAGGGTCTTGGGCATCTAAAATACAGAATGTCAAAGCAGCATCCTGCCTGGTGTTGCTCAGAAACAGAAGAAAATCTCCTCTGCCCTCATCTGTCTCGCCTTGTCGAGAACTTCTGGTAATATTCCCCCTCTCGGTAGTCAAACCATTTGCAGCATCATTCACTTATCTC